CCGTGAGGGGCGGCGACGGGGCCGTAAGGGGCGGTCGCGGGGCCGTAAGGGGCGGTCGCGGGGCCGTAAGGGGCGGCGACGGGGCCGCTAAGGGGCCACGCGGGGCCTAGAGAGGGCAGCGACGGGGACTAGGCGCGCTTCGGGCAGGGGCGGCACGCGCCCCGGGTAGGAAAAAAAATCTTGGTGGGCCCTAGGAACAGTTCCCACGAGGGAACCTGCTCGATACCATGAGAAACTTAGAACGAGAATGGATGGACTAAGGAATGAAAGTGATACAAATATGAGACCCTAGAATTGTGTACCCCTTAGTATCTAACCCGCTACAGCCTACACAGGCTAGATCATATAAGTTTGACAGCACGGACCGTTGGTAAAGAGGATCTACCGTCGGTCCAACAAGCGCTATGTAGATGGGCAGATCATGAAGTTCCATGCTAGGCGCACTCCGGATGTGGTGCCGGTGGACGATCCTGCTGGCCGGGACACAGCCATGCGGCAGGTAAACATGTTTAGTACCTGATTGTATGGATATGAATGCAGAATGTAATAAAATCCTTATCATATGCTGGCAGGCAATTGAGACCGACACACGGACTCTTATTAAGGAGTCATACTTCCTCCCTGTGGAGTTACCAGAAGAACCCACCTCCACCAACTAGTTTGGAAGGAAGTGGGCCAAGCAACACCCTGGTGCCCAAGCTGCCCTCAAGGATGCGTTAATACTTTATGCCGGATGCGTCACCAAGATTCGAGTAAGTACTTGAATGTTTGTGCAATCAACCATCATTTGACTGGCCAGTATCAATGATGACTACCACCAATTGTTATGCAGGCCCATGCATCGCTGGCAATCCCTGCGGCAGACGACGCCAGCTTCTCAAGAGTTTCTCACTTTGTTCGAGCGACTCCTGACTATTTTGAGAGGCCATGGTACTCGGATGTTGCAGTGGAGGGTATAAGGTATGGTCGGAGAGAGGAGTGGTATGCAAGGTTGCTTCTGTTGTTCCATACAAAAATACGTGGAGAGAGGGAGGAGCTGGCGTACATTAGATATTGGAATGCAAGCGGAGAGGATGCTGCAACAGGATGCCTTCGCCTCAAGTGGACGACAGGAATGTATGCGTACTACGTGATTCCGATTGAAGCGCTGCTCCGCCACGTCCATGTGGTGAAGGCATTCCATCTGGGCAGTACCTATCTCCTTAATAAGTATCAAATGTGATGCATGTATCTTGTAATAAAATGGCCAACATATTTTCCAGCAGTCACCTTTTACAGAAGTCAAAGCTAAGAAATCCATTTACAAATTTACAAATAATTTGGCACGCTCCAAATAAACGACAATGTACCGGAGTCGCGAATTCGATTTCGACTCTGACAAACAAACGCGTTCCGATTTCATCCCGTGATTGGTTGCGTTTTTGTTTTGGAACTTCGCCAACCAAAACACCTGAACTGTACCCCCCTTTGAACCCCTTCAAAAACACTGGTTTTTTGTGATGTAATCGCCCATTCTAACCCGCTCCTTTCATGACTATTCACCCATGGATACAGGACCGATCGATTCTTCAAAAGAAAACAACATCTACGGGTCACCACGCCACACTGGCATTATTTCCTAAAAGTCGGTACCAATCGAGTTTGGGTCTCGTCATATCGACCCTTACGAGAGTTGCTGATGCAGGAGGTTCATGACTCTAACCTCTCCGGGCACTTCGGCATCGACAAAACACTGAAGCTGCTGCAGCAGAATTACTATTCGCCCGACATGGCGTCGGACGTGCAGCACTACATGACCGCCTGCCCAACCTGCCAAGCCATGAAGTCGTCGCGACAACGCCCAGCTGGGTTGCTGCAGCCCCTCGAGCCACCCGAACGACCATGGCAACAAGTGGCGATGGACTTCGTTACAGGACTGCCAACTAGCGCAAGTGGCAACGATTCGGTGTTGGTCGTCGTTGACCGATTAACGAAAAGGGCGAATTTCGCACCATGCCGCACGACGATCACAGCCAAAGAAACTGCGAAGCTGTTCATCTCGACCGTCGTCAGATTACACGGGTTACCTTCGGCGATCATCAGCGATCGGGATCTGAAATTTACGTCGAAATTCTGGCAAGAAACGTGGACACAGTACGGCACCCGTTTGCAGTTTTCGTCATCATACCACCCGCAAACCGACGGACAAACAGAGCGGACAAATCAAACCATGGAGTAGCTGATTCGCACGAACTGCCCCGACATTACCAAGTGGGAAGATTTACACCCCATGCTGGAATTTGCGTTCAACAACGCACAGTTTGCGACAACCAGTCAGGCGCCGTTCTACCTCAATTACGGGATAGACCCCGTGGTACCCACTTCGACAACCCCTGATAACCCGGTACCACGGTCACAGCAGTTCGTCTCGGAACTTCAGGCAGCCCGCGATAAAGCAACGGAATTTATCCGAAAGGCTATTACTGTTGCCAGCCGCTACGATGATCAACATCGAAGGAATTTACCCTTCTACGATGGGTAGATCACACCAGCGAAGATGACACGTGGGTCCCGGCTGACTCGCTGCAAGGTCACTCGGCATTACGGAATTATCTTTCCCGCCGACGAGTGCCTGATATTGACCACCTTTCTTAAAAGGGGGGGTAGTGTAAGGAATTTTCCTTATTCCTTACTGAGGCACCTTATGCGCGTACAACTCCAACTTTCGGAGTTCAGGTTCGGTCCGACAACCTCGCCTTCCGAACGTCCCTCGCGTCGCCTTCGGGGTTTCCAACCCCAAACCTGCACCCGACCTTGCACGGTCCTACGACCTCGGCCTAGCTAGTAGCTCTTGCTATATTATCCCTAGGCCTCATTACTTGCTCAGATGTTGTAATCACTTCCGCGATATTGCATTTTGCGCAAATCTTCTTCTTACAACTCACAACACGGATTGAACTTGAAGTGGGTGAGTCAGCAGTACCTCGACTCTGAACAACTAACCTACTCGAGTTGGGCTGCTGACAAATATAGAGCTTTGATCAGTACTTCCAAGAACGTGGGAGCCAAATGGTTTCTGCCGTTCTTTTTTAACGTCTGTACAAAAGAACGGCAATCAAATGAAGGCTTTGAACCAGATTACGCACTTCGAGGTACTTTCCTCCCTTGGTAAGAGAGCGAAACAACGCGGAAGGGTAAACTCGGTTAAAATTTGACGGTGTTAAAATTTAACCGAGGTGCCTACAGAACAAGGCCATAGTTGTACCTTACACATGGATATGTGAACCGTCTAAATTTGGGTCATCTAAAAAAATGGACTCCAGGCATGAGTTGAGAGTATAGACCAAAGTTGCGCAGCGCGGAAGCTGTAGCTGGATGGATAATGAGTTTCTCCACATTAATGTGGTCTTTGGTGCATGTGAATGATTCGCAGTCATTAATGTAAGCCGATGCTAACCTTTTCTGTCAGAGTAATTGGAGTTGTGTTTATAAACATCAGGCACTACCACGCACACTCAGGCAAAGTTGACTATTGCACTAATCACTGTATGGTGGTGTGTGAGCTCTCTGAGCTCTAGCTTGTAACAAAGCATTGCTTGCTTTCCTTGCGGAAGAACTAAATATCTCTTTCATCCACTATCGGTTATCTTGACGCCTTCAACCAGAATTATTGTTTGTTGATTAAGGTATTGCATCTTTAGCAAAACCATAATCAATAAAAAGGAAACTCTTGCTTGAGCATAAATTTCGTTAGGTGGTGAGCGAAGAATGAGTGATGTCATCACGACCATGACGAATTCCATGGCCCACTAGTGTAATTTGCCAGAGCGTGTGGCGGAGGATGTGTGATTTGTGCTCCACTCATCTTCCTGACATGGAGATTCGGGCATCGTTTTCCTAACGAAAACTGGCAGTATTACGTAAGCAATTTGTCAAGTGCCATGGTTTTCCAGTGGAACGCTTCAGCGAGGCTTGCTTGCGACATGTCATGGCCCAGTGCAGAAATGAGCTACAAAGTTACCCTATCCACCACCCCCAGTCAAGGCGAGGCATTTCAGACTGACGACACAGTCGCCGACTCCATCACCTCGTGCGATGAAAGCTAAAATCTCCAGCCACATGCTTGCGACGAATCCTGCTGTGGTGGTACTGTAACCTGATGCCTAGCCAAGTTGCCACTAAATTCAGGACATCTGCGGCAGCAAACCAGTCACTGGTTTCAGTCAGACGGTGGGACAGTGACAATCAGGAAGAAGCCTTCTCCTAGGAGTACTCTATTCCTGCCTATTGCTGTGAAGCCATGCTTCCTCATCTTCCACATCGTCGCTCTCATGAGTGTCATGCTCTCATTGTCAGCCTTCCGTTTGGAACGGAATGCTTCGGTGTAACCCTAGATTTCTTATAAGTGAGTTCACGCTGGACGGATAATCTTGTTTTGTCAGAATGTATTTAGTGTTTAGCCTGCACTGGGGTACTCTGTAGTGAGTACAACCCAATTTAGGGTTTGCTATTTGTATCCCAACTTTCTATAGTGAAACCCCTCATTCTCCTTTCCAATTCTCTCGACACTAAATTCTCTCGACACTCAATTCTCTCGACACTCACTAGCCATGGCTCCCAACTCACGCTAGTATTCTAACATGGTATTAAGAGCAATAAGTTCTAGGACCTAAGATCAATGGGCCCACCACCTACGTACCTGCTAGCCTAGGCCCCGGCCCGTCGCCCCTTGGCGTCGCCCATAGCCCCTAGGCTCGGCCCCTTGGCCTGTCGCGCCTAGCTCGGCCCCTCGGCCCCGCTGGCCCCGTCGATTCCGTCGCCCGTGCCCGGCCCGTACCTAGCCTCGCGACCGGCCCGTACCCTGCCCGCGCCCGGCCCCGTCTCTTGCCCGCGCTCGGCTCGTACCTAGCCCCGCGCCCGGCCCGTACCTAGCCCAGCGCACGGCCCCGACCCTAGCCAGCGCCCGGCCCCGTCTGTCGCCAGCGCCTGGCCCCGTACCTAGCCCGCGCCCGGCCCCGTACTTAGCCCGCGCCCCGGCCCCGTACCTGCCCAGCGCGCGGCCCCGTACCTGCCCAGCGCCCGGCCCCGTACCTGCCCAGCGCCCGGCCCCCGTTCCTGCCCAGCGCCCGGCCCCGTACCTGCCCAGCGCCCGGCCCCGTACCTGCCCAGCGCCCGGCCCCGTACTTGCCCAGCGCCCGGCCCAGTACCTGCCCAACCCCCGGCCCCGTACCTAGCCCCGCGCCCGGCCCAGTACCTAGCCCGCGCCCGGCCCCGTTCCACGCCCAGCGCCCAGCCCCGTACCTGCCCAGCGCGCGGCCCCAAACCTGCCCAGCGCCCGGCCCTGTACCTGCCAGCGCCCGGCCCCGTACCTGCCCAGCGCCCGGCCCCGAACCTGCCCAGCGCCTGGCCCTGTACCTGCCAGCGCCTGGCCCCGTATCTGCCCAGAGCCCGGCCCTGTACCTGCCCAGCGCCCGGCCCCTTCCCTGCCCAGCGCCCGGCCCCGTACCTGCCCAGCGCCCAGCCCCGTACCTGCCCAGCGCCCGGCCCCGTACCTGCCCAGCACCCGGCCCCGTACCTAGCCCAGCACCCGGCCCCGTACCTGCCCAGCGCCCGGCCCCGTACCTAGCCATGGCCCAGTCGCCCCTAGCCATGGCCCCTCGCGACCTGCCGCCCCTAACCGCGGCCCCGGTGCCCTTTTGCGCCATGGTGGGTGAGGGGGTGGCAAGAGGGGGTTCCTCCTGCCCGCGTGCCCTACAGTCGCACGCGCAGCTCCGCCCCCGCCCCCCTCCCCCCCCTCCCCCCCCTCCATGGGGATGGAGGGGAGAGGGGGGGAAGCTTGGAGGTTCAGGGGGAGGCAGGAGGGGATCTGCAGCACCAGGTCCCCCACCCTTCTCCTACCTCCCCCTGCTGCGGGAGCAGCAGAGGGGGGGAGGGGATCTGCAGCACCGACCCACCCCCCCCCCCCTCCCATCCTTCTCCTATTTCCCCCTGCTGCGGGTGCAGCAGTGGGGGGAGGGGATCTGCCATCCCCCTGCTGCGGATACGGCAGTGGGGGGAGGGGACCTGCAGCACCTGCCCCCCCCCCCCCCCCTTCTCCTCCATCTCTCTGCTGCGGGTGCAGCAGTGGGGGAGGGTATGGGGGTGGCGGGTGTGGCCAACCTGCTGTCGCCCGAGCGGCTCCTGCACCGCCCGCCCCCCTCGGGTGCAGCAGTGGGGGGGGAGGGGATCTGCGGCACCAGCCCCCCCCGCCCCCCCCTTTCTCCTCCACCCCTGCTGCGGGTGCAGCAGTGGGGGGGAGGGGATCTGCAGCAACAGTGGGGGAGGGGATTTGCAGCATCAGCCCCTCCCCCCCCCCCCCCCCGCCCTTTTCTCCTCTCTCTCTCCCTGCCACACCCTGTGTTGGGAAGGGGGGGGAGCTTGGAGGTTCAGAGGGAGGCAGGAGGGGATCTGCAGCACCAGCCCCCCCCCCCTTTCTCCTCCACCCCTGCTGCGGGTCCAGCAGTGGGGGGGAGGGGATCTGCAGCAGCAGTGGGGGGAGGGGATTTGCAGCATCAGCCCCCCCCCCCTTTTCTCCTCCACCCCTGCTGTGGATGCAGCAATGGGGGGGAGGAGATCTGCAGCAACAGTGGGGGGGAGGGGAGTTGCAGCATCACCCCCCCCCCCCCCCCCCCCCCCCCCCCCAGCCCTTGCTGCTGCCCTGCGCGCCCCGCGCGCCCTGCAGCCCTGCTGCGCCCCACGCGCCCTGCAGCCCTGTGCGCCCCACGCGCCCTGCTGCCCTGCTGCCCTGTGCGCCCCGTGCGCCCTGCTGCCCTCTGCACGCGCCATGCACAGCACCCCCCCCCTCCCCCCCCCCCCCTTCTCCTCCATCCCCTGCTGCAGGTGCAGCAGTGGGGGAGGGTATGGGGGTGGCGGGTGTGGGTGCAACTGCGGGGTGGCGGGTATGGGGGTGGCGGGTGTGTGAACTGTCCCCTGCTCCTCCTCCTCCTCCGTCTCCCACTGCTGCAGCTGCCGCTGAGGGGGGTGGGTGTGTGGGAGCCTAGGGAGTGGTGCTAGGGGGGTGACGTGGGAGTGGAGCTAGGGGTGCAGCAAGGGGTGTGTGAAAGGGGGGTGGGACAGTTGGGGGAGGTTGAGCGGAGGTAGCCGTCGTGTCGCCAGCAGCGCCAGTAGTCCGGAGGCTACAATCTCTGGTAGCCCAGAGAGCCTGCTGCACCTGTCGCCTGTGGGTCCGTTGCTCCTGCCGCTCAGAGTTAGCCGCAGAGCCAGTTACTCCTGTAGTCCGGGGATACGGCCCCGGTAGCCACAGTGCGCGCCGCTCCTGTTGCCCGTGTGTCTGCAGCATCAGCCGTCGCCTCCTATCTCCTCTCCTCTCACAGTCCAGCCTCCTCCTCCTCACTTGCCCTTTGTGAATGCCTCTAGCTTTGCTTGTACTTGTGAACCTGCTCTATGACTGCTTGCTCTGCTGATTATACCCCACTTTGACTATGGGGGTGTGTCAGAATGTATTTACTATTTAGCCTGCAGTGGGGTACTCTGTAGTGAGTACAACCCAATTTAGGGTTTGCTATTTGTATCCCAACTTTCTATAGTGAAACCCCTCATTCTCCTTTCCAATTCTCTCGACACTCAATTCTCTCGACACTCACTAGCCATGGCTCCCAACTCATGCTAGTATTCTAACACGTTTTTGCGCTCACCTTGCGGTCTGTGTCAAAACGGCGAGATTACCAGTGAGCTGGACAGATACTCTTGTTTTTGCGCACACCTTGCGGTTCGTTTTCCGAGAAGCAGCTCAAGCGGTTTTAATCGAATCAAGTTCGGGCGATAAGCTATCGTTAATCACCTTTCTCAAAGAGACAGCTTCAAGGCCGACATTAGCTGTGCCACGGGCCGTGACGTGTTGTCGTTACCGTTGTTAGGCTTCTCTCAAGACTCATCACGCCGCGCGTCGACGAAACCCCTTCAGGCTGAAGTGCGACGGATTTCTGTCGCACACCACGTCACTGGGACGCCATGTCACTGAGTCCTGACAAAACTGCTTATCACTAGTAGCTCCGTGACTTGACACGGCTTATCTCCCCTTCTCTTGCTTACAACCGCTCCTTTTGCGAGTAAATGGCGGGCCGCCGTGAACGCCAGTGCTTCTTCTCCAAATGCAAGTTCCAAGATATGATGATGATCCCGGCACCAGTCCTGGTTTTGCGGCGGGTGCAGGTCCTGGTTTCGCGGCTGCTCGCACCCTCCAAGGAGGCCGAGTCGCCATTAGTCCTGCTACTAATAACTCATCGCCACGGGACTCTTAATCTCCATTTAACTCCTCGTCTGCCTCTCGCTCTCGTTGTCTGTGCGTGGCTGCTGCTCACTAGTAGTCTGTTTGCCAGACATGCCTCTGGAAACGGAAACATTCTAAGGAAACGAGCGTTTGGAAATGGAAACATCGTTCCAAGGAAAGCACGGTACCTACAAGCGGTGAAAGTATCTCTGGGGAACGTACCCGTTGCACCACCCGCACCCATTGCCGTTGCACCGCCCGCACCCATTGCTGTTGCACCACCCGTTGCACCGCCCGCACCCATTGCCGTTGCACCACCCGTCGCACCGCCCGTTGCGCCACCCGTTGCGCCGCCCGCTGCGCCACCTGTTGCGCCACCCGTTGCGCCATCCGTTGCGCCGCCCGTTGCGCCACCCGTTGCACCCACTGCGCCGGCGCCTGGCGGAGGAGCGCCAGCTCAAGGGGGAGCGCCCGGAGGAGGGGGGGCAGGCGGAGGACCGGGGGGAGGTGGTACATCGTTCAATGTGACAGCTGAACAAGGCGCAATTCTGGAGGCATGTGGCAGAGAGATGGGTGTGCCTGATGGCATGTGGTATCCTGGCATGCCATGCAGCATGGACTTGTGGATCACATGCGACCCTTTTGGCGCTGTCAACGGCATGTGAGTGCGACATGGCATGGCATGGCATGGACAAGTATATCAACACATTGGAAAGGGCATGGCATGTGATATGAGTGTACCACTGTGCCAACGACATGTATGGATGCATGGCATGATGTCAATGCAACATAGCTCATGTGTAACCGTGATTGCACCATTAATGGCATGTGAGTGTGGCAGGGTAGGGTATGCATGGCATGGAATGGCATGACGTGGCATGGCATGATATGATATCGAGGGGTATGCATACATTCCCTTGCAAAGCACGCAGGTGGTTTTTGACGCGCCTAATAAACCACCCTTGCGACGCACAGAGGTTTAGCTTTTGGCGTTTTAAAAACGTTTCAGAACGCAAAACGGCTGGTTGGTGTCTCTCAGTGCCTTTTGACTGTTTCTTGTTGCAAGGATGGTAAATCAAGGCTCAGCCCCCTTCTCTCCTCATTCTCCCCCCTCCGTTGCCTCCACCCCCCTTAGTCTCCCCCATGATCAGGGCTTAACTGGATCCTTCTGCTCCAATATAAACCTCCTCACGTCTTTGACAAAGATGTACGTTTGACGTTTGGCTGATAGGTGGGTACTTTGAGACGCCTAGATAAAAAAACAGATGCCTGTGTGCAGGTGGGCAGATGTGAACGTGAAGAGCCACTCTTGGTTTGTATAATGTTTCGTCCCCTCTCTCAAACGATCCTTTGTATTGATTCAGGCAGGGTACAAAACATGCAGTTTTATCTGGTGATACCCTCAATCCAAGTATAATGTTTCATCTCCTCTGTCTCTCTCTCTGTCTCTCTCTCTGTCTCTCTCTTTCGCACCACCATAAAGCTCTGCACTCGGCTCCTCCCTCCCATTTGCCCCTACCGCTCCGCTCCACATAACTCGGCACTCCCATTTCCCTCGGCTTTTATTAGGTGCTTCGAAAGAATTCGCTTCTCATCATTTCACTGATTCTACCCTTGTGAAAACTCTGGAAAATGGCCTAATCATCTGCCATCACCCTTGATCCTTGCTTCAATTCAAACTGTTCTTACACCCTCCCCCTTTCCTGTTCCATCCTCGTTAGTGACTTGGCCAACAACTCGCTATCAGGCTCTCTTCCAACCAGCCTTGGCAACCTTACTAGACTGGACACCCTGTGAGTAGTGCTGAGGAGTGCTGAGTAGTGCTGAGTAGTGCTGAGGAGTGCTGAGTAGTGCTGAGGAGTGCTGAGGAGTGCTGAGTAGTGCTGAGGAGTGCTGAGTAGTGCTGAGTAGTGCTGAGTAGTGCTGAGTAGTGCTGAGTGGTGCTGAGGAGTAGTTCTGCGGCACATGATGCATGCATTGCCTTGCCATTCCTCTACCTGTCCTCTACCTGCCCTCTCTGTCCAATCATTTCTGAGATGTCTCAAAAAGGACATTCAGTGAGTAGTGCTGATGAGTAGTTATGCAGCACATTATACTGTATTAGAATCACCCTAATCTCCTAATTGATTCGCTCTAGTCTAGTGCCATCATCGATTCTCCCTAACGCCATCATGAGGGTTTGCTAACGACTCAAACCACTCAAGTCTCCCTTAATACCATCATGAGTGTTCCTTTGCCCAAACGACATCACTCATTCACCCACCCTGCAGAGTTCTTAGTTACAATCGTTGAACAAATTACTCTTGAGAATTCTCAAAATTGATTTCATTACTATGTGTGTGCCTTTGCCCTATCCATATGACATCACTCAATCACCCTGCAGAGTCCTTGGTTACAATAATCTCTCTGGTATCATTCCTCCCACCCTTGGGAATCTCATGAAGCTCACTACACTGTAAGCTGCAATGTTTGGGGGAGTGTAGAACCTATTTTTGGAGGCGCCTCAAGAATTTCTCTCCAGTGTCGTTCCTCCCACCCTTAGGAATCTCGTGAAGCTCACTACCCTGTAAGCTGCAAGGTGGAGGAGGGGGAAGGTGGGGGGGGGGGGTTGGAAGGGGGGGTTAGAATCTCGCATCGTTCCGCCCACCCTTGGGAATTTCACTCGCCTCACTACACTGTAAGCCTATTTTTTTAGGCGCCTAGAAAAAGACTGTAAGCTGAAAGGTGGTCCACAAGAGCCGGTGTTTTAGTCAACTACAAAATCGCCTCCCTCACTCCCATGCATTTCTCTCATCCCAGCGTGCTGGACAGGAGCAGGGTTGTGTGCCCCACAGGAGCCGGTTTTCTAGTCGATTGAAGAATTGACTCCCTCACTCCCATCCCGTGCATCTCTCTTATCCCAGTGTCCTCGACGGGAGTGGGGTTGTGTGCCCCACAGGAGCCGTGCTGTATGAAGGCTGAGCACGCTTTTTGAGAATTCTCCCTCACTCTGCCTTCAATCTCTCTCCTCCCTCATCCCAGTGTCCTCGACAGGAGCGGGGTTGTATGCCCCACGGGAGCCGGGCAGTACTGCATGGTCAAGCAGAGTGCCTCTACCCAATTCTTCCCTTCTCTTCTCCATCCTCCCACTCTCCTTTCTCACACTCCTTTCCCTGTCCCTTACTCCAGTGTGCTGGACAGGAGCGGGGTTGTGTGCCCCACAGGAGCCGGGCAGTCCTCAAGCAGAGCGGCTCCACCCAATTCTGCCCTTCTCTTCCTCCATCCTCCTACTCTTCTTCTCGCCCTCATTTCCCTGTCCCTCACCCCAGTGTCCTCGACAGGAGCAGGGTTGTGTGCCCCATAGGAGCCGGGCAATCATGCATGGTCAAGCATAGCAGATCCACCCAATTCTGCCAAACTTGCAGCGAGTTTTGCTCCAATTGCACTCCTGTTCCTGATTCCCCCTCCACAGCACCTGCCGCATCTCCTCCTCCGCCTCCTCCGTCTCCTCCCTCCTCCTCCGGCCTGTCTGTGGGAGCTATCGTTGGGATTGTTTTGGGGGGTGTCCTAGCCGCTGCTCTCCTCGCTGCTGCCGTGTGGCTTCTCTGCATACGAAAGTCCAGAGAAGGTGAAGCTTTGCTGGCTATGGGATGTAGAAGTGCGGTAGATTTTGGAATGAACTTAGTTTTCCACCACTTTGTGACTTCTGAATGGGAGTCAAAAGTCATTTGGTGCTGTGATGTGGTAGTGCGGTAGATGTTGGGATGATCGTAGCTTTCCACCACTTTGGAAGATTTCTTAGTCGCTGCTCTCCTTGCTTGTGGTCTTCTCGCTGTTGCCATGAACAGGCAATGGAGCATCAAAGGGGGGAGAGGAATCTGTACCAACCAGTTCACTCATGTGCCAACGATACCCCTTAGCTGTAGTTGCCAAGGCAACAGATAACTGGGCCGAGGCAAACCACATTGGGACGGGCGGGTATGGGGAGGTGTATCGGGGGGTGTGCCCAGAAGATCCCTCGGTGGTGTGGGCTGTGAAGCGCGCCAAGATACTTACTAATGACTTCAAGCGAGAGGTGTGTGTGTGCGGTGTGGTGTGGTGTGGGTGGGGTATGAAGTTGTTGATTGGTGGCTGAGGATGAGATGGGTTGGTGTGATGTGCGCCAAGATACTCACCAACGACTCTAACTGAGAGGAGTGTGGAAAGGACACTGGGGTTGGGCTCTGGTTTGACCTGAGGGGCTACAAGCAAAAGTGCTTGGGATGCGTGGTTGCGTCGATCTACCACACCAAACATGCACTTTTGCTTGTAGCCCCTCCGGCCGAACCAGAGGCCAATACAATGTCCTTTCCACATAAGTGGCCTATTTTATCAAGGTGCGAGTTCCCGCATTTTCTTATCCCCTTGTTTCCATGCAGGTGGAGGAAATGGCATCGAAGAGCCATCCGCACTTGGTGCGGCTGCTGGGGTACTGTATCGACATTGACAGGGCAACAGACCACCATGAGCAAATTGTCATCTACGAGTTTTGCCCCAACGGAGACCTCGAGAAGTACCTCTGTGAAGGTGAGAGACGGTTCTTCTAATGAACGTTACATTTGCCCTGGTCATGGGCAAATGTTTTGAACGTCGAGGAATCGCTTGGATGTTTCAGCTCTTTGTCAACCTTTTTCTCGTCGGTTCACGTCATGGTTTTGTCAAAACTCAAAATCGCCTAACCCTGCACATGTTAAGGTTCGAGAGGCATTTGGGACACTATATGTTACTAGTCTGTTAGAAAGATGGTCGTTGCATTGGGTAAGGAGCCAAGAGGCACTATAGTACAATGAAGGAGCAAGAGAAGAGTGGAGAGGAAGCTGGTCAATTGGCCATTAGGTTGGTCAATGAATAAGTTTCTATTGTAGCCCAAGCAACCATAATTGTGAGCTGGTTGGAATTGGTGGAGCTAAATGTTAGAACACCAGCACTAGGGATGCCCGATTGGTCCTAAGAAAAAGTTACAGGCACGTTTGTCTAGGGGGTTATGGGCTCACTCACCGCTGCTTAACAAGTAATTTTATCCGAGTGGTGTAGTGGCTGGGATTCTGACACCAAAGACCAAGAGTTGGCAAATGCTTATCAAGCATCAAGCTTCAGGACCAATTTTCACCAACGTGTTGTGGTTGGAGGGTACACCAACAACCCCCCAATAGATGCAATAACTACAACTTTGAATCTAGCCTATGGATGTTGTATAGAATTAGAGTTTACAACACAATCGATACGAGCTAATGTCAAATGCGTTGTGATCTGACTGCATTCGGAGTATGAATGTGGTTAAGATTGGAAGTAGGCTACAATCTCATTTTTCAACCCTTTTCCATCTAAAATGAAGGCGTTGCACAAAAAAAAATTAGTGTCTCACTTTTGAAGTGTTTAACAAAAGCATCTCATTTCGTTGAAACGTCTCAAAACAAAGATATCCTTAAAATAAGATTTATTATTATTATTAAGCTACAACCCGCACCATCATCCTCCCATGCAGGAACCAAAAAGGG